GGGGGTTTTTTTTTTTTTTTTTTTTAAAGCACTGGAGCTGGGGTGGGCAGGGGCAGCCATGGGGGGGCTAGGGGAGTGGGCAGGGGGCTGGGGGATCAGGAGGGGTCAGGGGGGCTGGCAGGGGTCCCCCCATGGCCCCCTCCCCACCCCTAGTACTTAACAGCTCAGAGCTTTTCCAAAGATTCGGAGAGCTTTGAATCGATTCAGACCTTTAAATTGGTCCCCTGATTCGATTTGGATTCGGAGATTCTGCCACTGAATCGGGTCAAATCTCCTCCAAATCAAATCACCACCCGAAGCTTCACAGAGCCCTAGTAGGCGTATCTATCTTAAGGCAGAATTCCCATTAAAAAAATAGGAGTGTCTATGAGTGCAGGGTTGATGATTAAATTAGACTTCTGACTTGTTTGGATACCGCAAAATCAGATATTAAAATTTCAGGCTTTGTTGTAGAGATGCTGTTTTAGAAAGAACAAATGAAGTTCTTACAGCTTCAGCAGTAAAAATGCAAATAACTGCCTAGACTTCAGTGAAACTTCTTCAGGTTTTCTTTAGGGTTGTGATTAATTCTAGTAAGCATAAGGGAATTATCTTAATTCTTGTAATAAATCAAGCCATTCTCAGATACAGTTGCAGAACCAGAAAAAATACTGGACTTGTAATGTGGCGCCTATTACATTTTTACATTTTTTCTGTCCTTCCATGTACTTTCTCTAACTAAAACTCTTATTTTAAATAATCAAATATCTATATTGTTTGTGTTTAGGATCTTTAGAGGTTGTGTTTATCAGAATGTGTCGTGCCTTTGACTCCCAGAACAACACAGTATATTTTGATGGCAAGTATGCTAGCCCAGATGTTTTCAAATCATTAGGTAAGAAAATCTCAAGTACTCCATAATAAAAACAAATAGAAAAAAGGGTAGAAACTGAAACACAACCACTTATGGGGAAATAGACTGAGTCCTAAATGCTTGTCACAGAACAAGGAAAGGTTTAAAGTACTGAAAAGCTAAGCAGTCTTAGATTGCTCACTTTGACATAGCATGGATCCTCTTAAATGTTCTGGTTAAATTTGAGGCCCAGTTCAATTGCAGTTCCCACTGAACTTTAACAGAATATGGAAAAAAGCCTCACGCATTCACAGCAGGCACTCAGGTATTAATCTGGGCATATGTGTTTAGGCACCCAAGTTTGATAAGGAAAGTAATCTCATACATTATAAATACATGGAAAAATAGGTTCTGAGATGAAATTGGATACTACAATCTTGTTCTTTTTATACAAAGGTGAACATGATTAGGAAATTAATCTAGACTAGTAGGTAATGGAAATAGATCACTTGAGTAAGAAATGTTTTGTTTTTTTTAAATGACTCAATAATTTATTTTGACTTGTTTGCATATATTTACCAGTTTACTATTAGGAGACAGTAGGTTTGGCTGCAGGGTCTAAATTGAGTGGAATAAAAGTGAGGGTGAAGGTTAGTGTGGCAGCAAAGAATTTGTTTTAAAAGTATCTTATGCCTTTTCTAAATGCTCCCCTGGTTGTAAAATCTGGACAGTTCAGAGTTTACTGTTGTATCTGGGCTGTGAGTTGAGGGAGCTCCACATGAAAACCCTTGAGCATCCTGCTTCTCTGCTTTTGTGTATAGCCCCTCAGTTTCCTGCACATTTCTCAGGACTCTTTTTGTCCATCCATGCCTCTGTACTCTTGGGTTCACTGGTACCCTACTTCTTCAATGTACCCTTGCCCTGTCCCCTTAGCACCTTTTCCTTTTGCACCTCCCAGAGTTATGTCCATTTTGAGGGTGCAAAGCAGGACTGTGACCCTATATTATGCCTCTTCTGGTTTCCACCCTTGGTGTCATAGCAAGGGGGCATTGACTGCCCTGGGTGCCAAAGCAAAGGCGCACCAACAGATGCTGCCCAGCCAGAGCATGAGCAGCAGTAGCTCATTGGCAGGGGGGGGGGGGTGCAGGGACAGAGGGAGGGTGGTTTCCACCTCTGCTTGACTCCCAGGCAGGCATGGTGGGGGCATGTGCCCCCGGATCTGTGTGTGGGGCAAGAGTGGGGTGCCGCTGCAAGCTTTGCCCCAAACACCAAACTTCGTTGCTATAACACTGCACCCATACTTCCTGTATTTCTGTCATACCACACTTCTCCCTGGTTTCCCACCTCTTTCTTTTTTCTTCTGCCCCTCACTTCTCTGCTGATCTGCTGAATTCACAAGGACGTAATTTTATGTTTCTAAATGTACAGAGTACAGGTTTCAGCACTGTCCTGAAACCATGAAAAAGCTTGTTTTCAGCAAGAACAGAATTAAATCAATTTGGAGTTTCTGCATAGGGTCATTTGGGTATCAGGTTGGCACAAGCATGTTAGATGCTTTGGGAAATGTAGCTTCAGCTTAGTTCTTTAAAATTTATTCTAACTTATTAAATGGTTTGCTTTTACTAGACTTCCAAAAAAAATCATTACACTGGGATGAGATTCACCATGCAAAACGTCAGGTTGTTGGGGACTGGGAGAAGTGAAAGTTGGAGATATGGAAAAATGAAGTGCTAGTTTCCCTTAGTTATGATACTGTTTCCATCATCCCAACCCTTTAAGGGAGGAGCTCTGATCCTTGTAGATATTTCTAATCCATTTGCTTTCTTCAAAGCAACTTTGAAGCAACTTAACAAAAAACATTTTAACAAAAATCTTGAGTGATCTGTATCTTCTTCTTGGCAGGTTGTGAAGACTTCATTAGTTTTGTGTTTGAATTTGGAAAGAGTTTATGTTCTATGCACCTGACAGAAGATGAAATAGCTTTGTTTTCTGCATTTGTTTTAATGTCTGCAGGTAAGATTGCTCTAACTTTTTGATGGACTTTAGTGGTATTTTATTGTGAAATATTCCTCAGTGATAACTTGGGAGACAACCAATCAGTATAAAATATAACCAGCTGTCTCTGTGTCCCTTTCCTAACCATATCCTCTTTCTGGTTTTACTTTTAACGAGTGCATTTAAACAGTGGGTATGAAGGTTGTTTTACTTGACTGGTAGTAGATTCTAAATTATGCCCTGGTTTTTGTCTGTCACCTCCTTCCCTGTGGGTAATAACGTTGAGGAATAAAGTACAATCTGAGCATAATTTTATGTCGGTAGAAGACGCAGTTCTCCTGCCATTTAGTAGATCAAAAGTATGTAGCATTATATTCCTTCAGTTAAAGAAACACAAAACTGTTTGCTCCTGCCACCCTGAGGCAGTAGAAAGTAATGCTACTGAACCACCATGAGGTGCACAAGTACAATTTCCTTTTAATAAGCTTATCTTCTTATAACTCAGGGGTTGGCAACATTTTTGGGCAGAGTGCAAAAACACCTGCAACTTCAACTTGTAAGATGTTGGCTTCCCAGGGGTGGACAGCAGGGCAGCCACAAGGGGCCTGATCCTTGTTGTGGCAATGCAGCCCTGGCCCCTTCACAGTCGTCCGCCTCAAGGTGCACATGCCATGCAGAATGGCTTTGCGTGCCACACTCTGGCATCTGTGCCAGGGGTTGCCTACCTCTGTTATAACTGCATCATTGCTTCTGTCTTTTTCTGTGTGTTGAACAGAAAATCTTGTGCTGAAGATACATTCTGATTAATCACGCATTATTATACCATCAAGTTTTTTTTCCAAAACAGAACTATTGCTAATTGTATTTTTCCTCTAATACAGAATTGTATTAGTGTGTAAAATGTTAACACATACCATCCAACCTGAAATGCTTGAGTTGAAGACTTCTAAAAAAAATTAAAGTATTGTTATATTTAACCTTATTGCACAGATTCACAGAAGTTTAGGGCGGGAAAGGACCTTGTGAGATCATTCAGCCCCTCTGATCTGGGAAGGAAATAACCACAGCAAGGTGTACATTCAGTCTCCTTTTACTTACTACATGCTATAAGATTAGAGGATTAGATTTTATATGAGAGTAATACATTCATTCTAAACTTCTTAATTGTGAGACTGACTTCCTGAATTGTTCTTCATGGAAGAATGGATGGTAGGGAGATTGGACTGGATATAGGAAAGTTAAATCTATAAGACAGATTCTGAGGCTAAGTACAGACATTCCAAAAGCCTGAATTGATTCAATCTTTCAAGGTTAGTCTAACCTGCATAGATTGAACTAGTTTGCAAGTGAATAAACATTCACTTTTGATTCTGAAAGTGCAGCCACATGCTTGCAGTGGCTCAGGACAGAAGTTGGGAGGCACTAGAGTGAGCCCTCCCTTCACTTCTGCAGCGGCCAGGTGGAGAGAAGCTGAGCTAAGGTGGGGGGGTGTGGCCAGGCCCCCAGAGACCTGAGTATGATTGGGGAGGGGTTTAAGCCCCCACCCTGGCCTGCAGGGACCCCAGCCAGGATGTGTCTGGAGGAAGAGCAGGGAGGCAACCCTCGCCAGGCTTTTGAGGGGTGGAGGGGCAGGAACATGGCCAGACCTCAGCCACTGGCCAGACGCTGCCCTGGCATGGCCACCTAAGGCGAGGGGGGCAGGAAGGGGGTTTATTCCCCCCTCCTTCTGCTCTCCCCACTTGGATCCCAGGCAGGGTCTACCTGGCTGGGGTGGAGAAGCCACTGTCAGGCATTTCCTGCCCCCTCACCTGCCATTGCCACTCAAGTGGCAGGGACGGAGGCATGGCCAGCCCCATCAGCAGCCTGAAGCGAAAGAGGGGAGGGAGGAGGATTTAATCCCCCCTCCCTCCCCTGTCCTACTGGCACAAACCCCAGCTGGGTTCTTCCTGGCCAGGGTGCTGCAGCCCCTCTCAAGGCCTCCCCCCCGCCTTCCAGTCCTCCAGCAGCAGGGACAGGGCCATGGCCAGATGCTGGCTGGCATGGTAAAGGGGGCAGGGAGGGGGTTTATTCCCCCCTCCGTCCCCTCTCCTACTGAGGGACTGTATCCAGGGCCTGTCACCCCAACCGCTGCCTCCCCTGCTCACCCCTGGCTGGGCAGATCCCAGCTGGGGTTCCCCAGAGGGAGAGGGGAGGGAGCAGGAAATAAACCTCCTCCCTGCATCCTTCACCTTAGAGGGCCATGCTGGCTGGTGTCTGGTCATGCCACTGCCCCTGCCCCTGCCCCTGGACTGGTGAGCGGAGAGGGACCCTGATGGGGCAGCAGCCCCTGGCATGGTGTCCCAGGGAGTGCAAGCCTCTTACCGATGCGAGGGGCTGCACTGCAGGCAGGAGTGGGGTAGGCAGAGCTGCCACAGCCTACTCAGGGCGAGTGGTGGTGGTAGGGCTTGGAGGGGTGGCTGTAGGAGGACTAAACTGAATTTTGGGGTGGCCATAGCCCTCCAGGCTCCCTTAGTACAGCTGTCACTCACCATGTGCAGGCTGCAGCAGCTCTGCACACCCTGCTGCCACCCACAGCATAGCCCCAGGGTCCCTTCCCCCTCACCGGTCCAGCAGCAGGGGTGGGGGCATGGCCAGACACCAGCTGGCCTGGCCGTCTGAGGTGAAGAGGACAAGGAGGGGGATATTCCTCCCCTTTCCCCTAGGGAACCCTAGCTGGGTTCTGCCTGGCCGGGGGCGAGTGGTGGAGGTGGTGGCCAGGTGGGGCTGGCAGACCCCAGCTGCGGTCCCTCAGTGGGAGAGGGGACAGAGAGTGGAATAAACCCTCTCCTTGCCCCCTTCACCATGCTGGCCAGCATCTGGCCATGGCCCAGCCCTTGCTGCTGGAGCACTGGACTGGGGGGGCTTGAGAGTGGCTGCAGCGCCCTGGCCAGGCAGACCCCAGCTGGGGTCCGTGCTGGGGTAAGGAGGTGGGAGGTGGGGCATTAAATCTTCCTCCCTCCCCTTGTTTACTTCAGGCTACTGGCAGGTCTGGCCAGGGGCTACTTGGCCCAGCCAGGCAGACCCCAGCTGGGGTCTGGCAGGGAGAGGGGAGGGAGGGGGGAATAAGCCCCCTCCCTGCCTCCTTTGCTTCAGGGGCCATGCCGTTCCAGCATCTGGCTACATCCCCACCCCTGCTCTGGCTAGACTAGTGAGGTAGAGGAGCAGGACCAGCCTTGCTCTCTGGAACAGAGATCACAGCCCAGCCCAGGACTGAAAAGCATGCTGGGGGACTATGATTTAATTTAAACCAAGAAGAGGTCTGGGGCAGAAGTTCCATAAACCAGTTTGACCCAGATCAGTTAAGTCTGGTACTGTATTCAGCCAGGCTTATCTTAAACCAGTTTCAGCCATTTTGAAACTGGTTTATGTGCACTGAATGTCTGTTCTGTTACAGGTTTAAGCCAGTTTCTGATCACTTAAACCAATTTGTTTTGGTTTAAGTGGTTAACTTTTGTCTCTAGCCTAGGAACATTTCCTTGTGAACCAGGTTATGCATAGTTGATGGTTCACTTGTTTTTACATGTAGATCGTTCATGGCTTCAGGAGAAGGTAAAAATTGAAAAACTCCAACAGAAGATTCAGCTAGCCCTTCAGCACGTCCTGCAGAAGAATCATCGAGAAGATGGAATCTTAACAAAGGTGAGAACCATCAACTGTGCCATGTCCTGGTTAGAGTAAGGCCTTCTTTCTTTGTACAGTCCCAACACCTACCATTTGAGTAACAGCTCTTAAGTGGCATATTTGGCTCTTGTATCCTTTTTCTTATCCAGAAATGCTTATTCAAAATCCAGCCTCCTATGTTTTAGCTGTTTCCAAGCAGAACTCTGGGGTAGAGGAAAGGTGATAAGGTAGTAAGTGATTTGAGAAACAGAATTTTAACATGGAGCTTAATGAAAAGCCATTGAGGTCAAACTTTATGCCCCCTTCTATCCTGAGGAAGATGCCTGCTGCAAGGGTTATTATTACACAAATATGTTGAGAAAGCCCTGTCTTTTGGAAAAGTGGAATTAAAATGGTATGGAACTCTCTAAAATAAGTAGGATTTTTAAAAAGAAATACAAAACTCTAGAACTCTTGGTTCAGAGATTATACCTTTTATTAGACCAACTAAGAAATCTCAAAAAAAAAATCTTTTTCTGCAAGCTTTCAGGTGCACATGTGCCTCCTCAGGCTCAGGGAAAATTTATAGATGGTAAAAAGTCCACATAGGTAGAAAATAAATTTCATTTTTGCACAGAGGAAGCCAAAGGTGGAAGTCTGTTCCTCTGGGTCCATCTGGAACAGACTTCCACCTTCAACTTCCTCTGTACAAAAATGAAGTTTATTGTCTACCTGTGCAGACTTTCTACCATCTTTATTTTTTCCTTAGCCTGAGGTGTGTGTGTGCCCAAAAGCTTGCAGAAAAAGATATATATATTTTTTGCGATTTCTTAGTTTAATAAAAGGTATCATCTCTGAACCAGGAGTTCTAGAGTTTTGCATTTCTTTTGGTCTCAGACCAATACGGCTACTAAATACATCCCTGAAACAGGATTTTTTAAGGTTTATGAGAAATTGTCCCTGTGAATTGCAGCAGTGAATTGGTCTGGGAAGGGAAAGACAAAATGAATAGTTTAGACTACAATCCTGATCTTGGTTTTCATTTCTTAAAGAAGCTGAAGAGAACATGTATTTTCTAAATTCAGAAATAAACAGAAATGGATGGTTGGTTCTGTTTTACCCTTCTCTCTATATTTGGTCCTTTTTCGAGCTGTGGAAAGCTGCACGTGGTTAAAGAGCTCATACTCAACAAGGTTTTGCATTGTCAACTTCATTACCAGGAGTTTAACCAGAGGCAGTATAATACAGCTCACCCTAAGGGAATGGGTTTTGTGTATGTGCAATTCCAACTCATCCAATTTTTTCCCCAGACATCTATTTTGTATTCCTCAACAGGAGAGAGAATTCTGTCCATACAGTAGAATAACTAGTACAACTTGTAATTTTCCTGATGTATTTGCTATATGCGAGACCCCTTTCTTTCTTTCTCTCTCATATTCTGAAAAAGAAAAATACAGCACTAAAAGGGTCACGTAACATTCTTATGCCTGGCAGAAGCAGGGCAGGGTGACACCTTAGATGCCAGTTGGGTCAGAGAGGCACAAGCTTTTACAAGTGGCAGTTGACTTGACCAGATGGCATTCAGAGGTGCTACCCTGCCCTGCCTTCTTCCTGACTTCACAGTAGTGCAGCTGACTACCTCTCTCTTCTTCTACCTGTGAGGTTGCCTGCTCTAGTAGAATTTTAAAAAAAGAAGAAAAAAAAAGATTGTTCCAGTCTTCTAACATCTTCTAATACAGCTTGATACAACATTTAAATGGTCATGTAGTGACTTTTTGTTTTGAATCATTCTGGCAAGTGAATTTAAGGTCTCTTGAATCCTCCTTTAAACAAAACAACCAAAATAAGAATGCTTGAGTGCTTTAATCCTAAGCACAGAATAGGGAGAACAGAGCCTGTTGTTTGTGACTGTATATGTCCTGTTTTTTGTTTTTGTTTTTTTACAGTTAATATGCAAAGTGTCTACTTTGAGAGCACTGTGTGGACGGCATACAGAAAAACTTATGGCATTTAAAGCAATATACCCAGACATTGTGCGACTTCATTTTCCTCCATTGTACAAGGAGTTGTTCACTTCAGAATTTGAGCCAGCGATGCAACTTGATGGGTAAATGTTATCACCTAAGCACTTCTAGAATGTCTGAAGTACAAACATTACAAAAAAAAAAAAGAAAAGGAAAAGGAAAAAAAATAAAGAAAACCAAGACACTTTATATGGCCCTGCACAGACCTAGGGAGCCAACACACTGCACATCTTTTGGCAGTCGGGGTCAGGCGAAGGATGGGAAACAATGAAACAAAGTTGAACTTGTTTTTCTCATGCATATGATTTCCATTATGCCTACAAATATGGACCCTTTTTCTGTCTCAACTTCTTGATCTTTGACCTCTGTTTACACAGAATGAGGGTACTAAAGTCAGAAGGTTGCTTTTTTCTAGTTGTTCACTGCCCACAGACTTAACAGAACAATCAGTTTGTTGATCAGAACATTGAGTCCAGCTAGTAACCAGTGACTGGTGTGCATTGCAGAGGTTTCAGCATCAGTTTGCACAACTTGTTCATTGTTTCATGAAGGACAATTTATTCACCTACCATTGATTGCCAGTAGGCAGATGGCAAGAAAAGGGTCCATAGCAATAGCAACAATAGCATTATAATATATTACAGGGTAAATGGGCATGAAGACTATATATAGCAAAAGAGATATTGTTTATATATTGTTTTAATTAATATAAAATGTAGTTACTGGTATAGCTTTTCTTGTTGAATTGATAAGGCACTTTCATTTTGCACCTTTTTCTTTAAATTAAATGCTAGCGTGTTCATTGTCGTGTTGCATGTGCACCAGAAATTCAAGTTTAACGGAGAGGTTTGGATGGTACTGGTACAATGGGAGGTATTTATGCTGCTGTTACTATTACAATGTTACTATTAGAGAGAGGCTGGTCATATCCTGAAATGATTACAGATTTGTAGTTTGAAAACAATGACATTTTAAAGTCAGAATTTGTTTCTATGCTGGTTTTAAAAAGCTGCTCTTATTTTTACACAGAATGCAAATTTTTCAAACCTGGATGTATAAAATTGAACGTCTAAATCCATATTTGGACACCCAAATAAACAGCCTAATTTTCAAAGGCACTGAGTACCCAAAGGCAAAGATTTTGCTCAGTGTTCACAAATCAATCACAGCTGCAAGCGCATAGCTCTCTTGAAAATCAGGCTGTTAAATAAGGTGTATAAATAGGGATATAGATGCCTGACTCTATGAACCTAGGTTTGAAGATATTGAACCAAGGTTATACAGTAAAAGTATAATGTAACACATACATATGTATAAAATAATGCGTGTGCATGTTACACAGCTACATGCTTTTATGGAAAACAATGCACTCCATATGGTAAACAATGCACTTAAAGCAAAAACCTCAGTCTGTTGAAGTCTGTAGGAGTTTTGCTGTTGACTTCAGTAAGATCAGGTAATGGCCCTATTTTCCAAAAATCAGTTCTGCCCAACACAGATTAATCCTTTGCTTTAGAGCAGATTTGTATGGCTCCAAAAATAATTAGATGTATTTGGAAACACTCACTTTAAGACTTACAAAATGAGTAAGTACACACTGATGAATTAAAGGCACACTCCATGTGTTAAAACCTGCCATGTATTTAAGATTGTATATGAAATCTGGAAACTAGGAGTGGGGTAGAACAGTGTTTCCCAATCTTTTCCAGCCCAAGGCACACTTGCATTAATAACATTTTTTCCACGGCACACCTGTTAAGGCATTCCTCATACCTATTGTAGCTCATTGCCATGGAAAAATTCCGTGGCATGCCTGTTCATTTCTGACGGCACACTTTTGTGCTGTGATACACTGGTTGGGAAACACTGGGCTAGAGAATGTGCAGGAACCAAATTTTGCAGTCTTTACTTTTGCAAACTACTGTGTCCTCTAGTGTTCCTGAGTAAGGAGAGCAGAATTTGACTGAAAGGGGTGGGGAAAGTCAGGGACATAGTCTCCACTTCTGCTGCAAAGGCAAGAGGTATGCTGTATTCAGGCTTCATCCACTTAAATCATGTTACGTTGGACTGCTTAGCACTAAGTGGCAGCACTATGATTGTTACCTGTGTAGATTAACTACAGAAATCAGAGTTTCTGCCCTCTCTAACATGCTAATGCAAGGACAGCAGAAAATTTAGATATTAAATTGATCCCTATCTGTTCTGGTGGCCAGAGAATGAGTTCAGTACTGCGGGGGCCAGAGAGCACAAGGAAATATGTAACATAGCTATGCAGGTTTCAGTGGAAGGATGGACCAGCTTTGGAAACAGAAGTTTTCTTGAAGGAGGGAGATGCTCCCTAGATTGGGTATGAAGAAAACCCTCCTCAACCTTAGTTGGAAGAGTACGTTTAAAATGTCAGTCTTACCCTCCTGGCTCAGCACTGAAGCAGAATGCCGATCCAGTGATTCTTCTTTAGCCAGCTCAGACCCCATCAGGCAGAAGAAAGCCTATCTTTGCCATGGTCTTGTCCTACGATACAGTTGGGTTCAGTGGAATCTGAGCTACTTCTGATGTGACAGTCTTAAGCAGCTGTAGCTTACCTGAAAGGGCATTTAACAGTTACAGAAAAATAGGAACTACCTCCTTTAAACTGGAAGCAACTGGGGACCTGAGCTAGGATGAGAGCAATGTAAAGCACTGTCCCTAAAAAACAAGGTAGTTACTGAGCATGTATGTATTGTTCAATGATGTTGCCTACAGGTCATAACTGCATTGGGCCAAATCATGCCAGACACTGTGTAAGAGTTTAAATTAAGTCCATACCTCAGATTTCTTGAGGTAGCTACACACTCGAAATACATTTGTTTTCCAGGGTTGGTGTGTGTAAGATTATGTAGTAGTCATTTTGTGGTTCTCATACTAAGGCAGTCCCTGTTTCTTCAGTTATGATCATTTCTTTGTTTATTTTTGTTTTTTGGGTTGTTTGTTTTTTTGGTTGGGGGTGGGATTTTGAGAAAGGAGATAGAGAAATTTAAGGAGAACGTATGGTATATGATTAATCCTTGGTATGTAATCTCCCAAGTAAAACCTACGTAACCCTCGCCTTTAACATAGAAGTGGCAGCCATGGTATATTTACTTTGTTAAACAGTAACTGAGAATTAATTCAACACCTTATCTTAAAGGGACACTAACAACTTAAATGTTTTTTAAAATCCTTTTTTTTTTTTTTTTTAGAAAAAATTTTTTAAAAATATATATTTCCAGATTTTTAATTAAAATATGTGAGAATAAATGAAGGGTTTTTTCTTTTGTTTTTGGTTTGGGTTTTGTTCTCATTGATTTTTAGAATGGCCTTTAGGCAACAGGAAAAACAGGAGAAAAAAAGGAAAACACTGAATTTTTCTGTGCACAAAATGCTGTCACATGCAAAAAAGTAAACAAACTGATAATATTTTTTGCTGTCTTACTTCATTTGCAGTCCTGGTAGTTGTTATAAGTCCCTATTAGAAAACAGAAGAAAATATGTTTGTGATTTTCAAGTTAATGGTGTATCTTTCTTTTTAACAGATGGAGCTAAATTCCCCCTATAGGTACTGTAGTGATTGAGGTGCAACTAGGTGGAGATGGAGCAAGCACTTTGGTATATAACTGTTGTAAGAGGGGAATGAGAGCCATGGATTATTTATAGGCAAGATTGTTTCCTTTTGTGTCAATAGCCTATGATCCAAGGTTACGTTTCTGTAGCGCTGCCAGAGTAGTTTGGAAGCTCTCTGAGGGATGGTGCCTCAGGTGGTTCATTCTACATAGCGTTTTGTTAGTTGAGGGAGATAGGATGGTATCTTCAGCTCTTTCATGGCAACGTGGATGTTTAGGAAAGGAATTGTCCCTGCACATGCCTGGATACAGGAGCTGTGGTTGTGAGTGGCTTTATCAAAGAGTATGGAGGAGGCCATGTACACCCTTCATTCCGTCCTGCATGCCCCACATGGGCCACTCACAAGACTGTGATCTCAGAGACTGTGGTCTCAGTCTCACCATCTTATCAGCTTGCTTTTTCAGGAATCATTGTTTGCTTTATTGGAGTAACTGGCATGATATGGCAGCTCTGTTCTAATCTAGGAGTTTGTTTTTATGATTAAAACCAAGCTTTCTACTAACAAAAGTTTTCTACTAACAAAAGTTTTCTGAATGTGACCAGCCTCAGGTGCTAGCCTATTAAAGATCAACTAAACTTAATTTCAGTGTCAACTAATGGATAGTGGTGTCAGACTGGACCTTCTCTAGAGAGAGAGACAGATTCTGATTTTTGACAGCAAGTAGGGGGTACCCATATTAAGTATTTTGGAACTGATTTTTAATCATGTCCTCCTCCTCACCTGATCTCTAGATGCAAAGCAAAGATGATTGGCATTTAGGTTTTAGTATTTGCACCCACAAATCAATAGGAATATAAAATATATGAGTAATTATACTTGTGCCCATAAAATTGAAATTAAGAAGCCTCGCTGAATGTCAAATCCTTCGTATCTAAAATTAATTGTGGCACAATGTTTAAGGGTGTAAGCTTCTTGGAGGCTCTTTTTTCTTCATTGGAGCTATTGAGTGTTCGGCATCTTGCAAAATCAGGCCATTTAGCATCTTCTCCAACCTAAGTGTGTGTTCCTAATCACAATAAGTAGTCACTTGGAGATGCATCAAATAAAAACAAGTATAGCAAGGTGGTAGGTATTAAAAGTATTGTTGCCAAGAGACTTTTAACGAGATGTGGAATGATTCTAGGTGCAGCTAGTCACAATTAAGTCTAGATGACATATACCCTGTTAAGACTAGGACCCAAGATCAGAAGTTCAACGAATGATTCAGTGGCAGAACACACTTGGGCTCTGTCAAGTGAATGACAGATGTATTAAACTTCCATAGTCTGCTCCATTTAGAAAAAAAAATTGAAACTACAGAAGATTCGGGAATAATTATTCCTTTTAAATTAGCTGTTCATAATAAAATGGTTGTTTTGGGCTTTTGGCATTTGAACATTCTTTAGCTGTTTTATAGAAGAGGTACTACAGAACAGTGTCATTTTGATTACCATAATGAACATTCATATACCTGACACCGTTCCCCTTTTTAATAACAATGGGATTAGATGATGGAGAAAACTGTCTTTTAAGTTTGGTTGTTCTTTATAAAAGCTTATATATCATAGTATGGATACCAAGGCCTGAGAGTGTTTGTGAGTGTGTGTGCATGGATGTATGGGTGTGAATGGCTGCTTCTAGGCTGTTTAGTGTCAATGGAATAAAGAAAATGTATTCAAAATACTTAAGTCAAAAATAGAAGGTGGAAAAAAGATTTATTCTATACAAAGCCTTGTCTGGACCACTTTAGAGAGACTTCTATTTTTTTAACCCTTCTATAAATATTTGATGGCACTTGAAATATTCCTGCAATAAAATGTGATTTGTGTAAACATAAAAAAAAAGATTTTGTAATGTGAAACAATGAAAGAAAGTAATGTAATTTTTCTAAAAAACAAAAACAAAAAACAAATGAACGAACTTTGTATTATTTTCTTGATGGAATTTGTCTATTTGTCTTTGGAAGACTTTTTATTTCATTGAATGTGCCATAGTAGAAATGTGGTTTTTGGTTTTTTGTTGTTTTTTTTCTTTTCTTTTTTTTTTTTTATGTTTTAGATTAAAGGAAAAGCTGTTTGTGTTACGACATTCCAAAATGCAAGATGACATAGAATAATGATTAAAAGGGTTGATTAGTAAGCTTCAATCATTGTTGCTTTTTTGCACATGTTCTTCATTCCTCTATAGTGCAATATGTACATAGAGCACTTGCGGGTGTAACCTTGATCCCTCAGGGAAAATACATATTTGTACAGGACTTTTCTTTTGCCTTTTTTTCTTTTTTTTTTCTCGTTTTTCTTTTCTTTGTTTTTCTTTTCTTTTTTTTTTTGCTAAGGAATGTCGATTTAAATCACTTGTCTGTTGTTGAGGGGCAGCCAGATAATAATCCTAAGCCACTGTCACAAAATATTGGTTGTTTAATCATTTTGTGCCCTTGCATTATTTAAAAAAGAAAAATAAATGTTATTTTCCAACAGTTCTTTGTGCTGATTGGTGAAGAAAAGGGTAAATAGATAAGCACCTTATGATTGACTTAACTGTGAATGACAATCCATCTTGTTATCAACAATAGAAGCCCTATCATTTTGGAGTTGGGGTTAAGAGTCAGAAACGAATGTGCTCAGGGATCTTCTAAAACTCTTCAACAGGGTGGCCAGTACTACTGGGACAAATTGCTTTTGGAAAAAATATAATATCCCTCCAAGGCACAAGTGAACTGTGTAGAAGTTTTCTAAACACTCCATGTGTGCCTCATACAATTATTTGAATTTCAGCCCATGTGCTCAGTTTTATTTTACTCAAAATTTAAAAAAAAAGTAGAACTCCAAAAATAATGCAAACTTCTACAAACATGCATAGAAAACCATTCGTTTTGCATCCACAACCAGATCATTATTCAAATTACGTTTCAGTACCCAGTTTACCATTTTTAATCGTAAGAGTATTAGCTTAAAAATTGAACTTCAGTGTTTTGCAACTCAGTATTTAATTTGTTCTTGTATTTAAATTGTCTTCAGTATCTAAATTGTTGTTTAAGAGAGAAAAATCAGGTCATCTTATGCAGTATAATATGAGTGGAAATACTACAATTATTCAATTGTGAGTCACATAGTAATGAAAACAGTTAAAACCAGGAGAATACAAGGACAACAGTTTCATATACCTGCCATTTGATGTATTTACTTCATGGTAAAACAAGCTTTTTAAAAGAAGCACTGTAGCTACCACTTTCTATTTTTTTTACCTCTGACAACACTTTCAATAGTTGTAGGAAACAGCAGTGTAAGATAAGTGCCAAACTTCTTTAGGTTACCTTTAAACCTTCTTAAATAGTCAAAGTAAGATTCTAGAAGTTTAGTCCAGTTGTTCCTGCTCTGGCTTTATTCTTTTGTACCTTGCAAAAATAAGTAGATTATTTAGGTAAGCAATTAAAAATAAAATGGGGAAGGTTTTGGTATCTCTCTAGTCAGGTCAGAAGGAGGGTGTTATTTCTCACTCATTCTTTTGTTATTTTACTAGTACTTGTAAAAAGTGTTATGTTACCAGAGTTGTTTTCCCTTACCCTTTTCAGTGTAACATTTCCAAATACTACATTTTTATGTAGAGAAATGAATGCAGTGATACCCACCTTGCATCTCTGAGCTAACAGTGCAGTTTAGTTTTGAGTAGTCTTTTAAGGCAAAAAAAAATTGACTAAGTTGAGTTTCTTGAACAGTTTTCATTTTGTTCCATATGTTAGAAAAAATCCCTAATACCAATTCTAAGCATGTAAAAAGCTAAATTAAATTACGTAATTCTTTTCATACTTGCAAGTGATTCACAGATGCATTCAATATGAACAGTTTACAAGTTAAAATTTTATCTATGTATTTGGGTGGCCCAAAGTATTTATTGGGTTCTATGACGACTGGCTTATATCTTCCCTAGACTATAGTTAAGGGGGCTTTATATTGATGTACAAACTACATCATTATTAAATGCTGATCAAATAATTTGCAATACGTTATTTGTTCTACATATTTTGCCTCTCTCCCAAAAGTAGAAAATAAATTGGTCTGTTTATCAGGTTAGGAAACTAATATTTCTTGAACAATGTCCAGAAATAATTGATAAGCAGTATGCTTTGAATACTTAGTATTTGAGTTGGCTGCTTTCTATTCCAAATATGTAGGTCACATGGCATATTTCTTTTCCCTAAGCTGAAAAATTTCAGAATTTAAATTTTATTATTAAAATTAATACTTACTACTTTAAATGTCAGCTTCTGTAAACATACTTGAATATTAATTTCAAGTTTGTTGTTTGTTTGTACATTCCTGAGAGGAACATCCATTTGGTGGAATATTCAGGGGACAAATATACAAGAAAGCCAAATGCAATATGAAAAAAATATATAAAACTCAAATATTTATAGCAGAACTCTTGCAGTATTCACTTAGCTCCTGGTACTGTGACTGTAGTAGTGCGCTGAAATGTTGCCAAATCACTGTTTTAGAGGGGAAAATTATTTAACAGGTTTTAAAGCAACATACTTGTTAATATCTAGTCTGTTCTTGGAATTTTTTTCAGGTACTAAAATGAAATTTGATGTTAAAGTAAAAGCTGTATTCTACCTTTTGTTCCATATGTGGACTTTTCAGACTTTTTCTTTGTTTTGGCTTTTGCATTGTCTGTTTCATTGGTAGAATATAGCAATAATGCTTTAGAGCAATAAGCTGACTATCCAAATACAAAATAAAACATAATACAGGTTTTGGTACTCATACTTTACATTCAGGTTTTGCTACCACAGTTTTTACTTGTAGGTATTTCTGTCATCTCATTACTGCTTGGTGCTGAACATCACAAGAAAATTGTTTGGCACTGCAAAATGTACATCATACCACACCTTGTTTTTTATACAGCCCATACATGCTTTCAGTATTCATCTGTGCTTTTTATGCTTGTTTTCCCCTAAGTTTTCCTGGAGGTCTTACAGTAAATGCATAAACTTTATACAAACTTGCAATCTGTAATGCGCTCAGACCTAAATGCAGAGAATTCATAAGCAATACAGTGAATTTTATTTCACAAAAAAGGATGTGTACTGTATATACCTTTATAAAGTAAAAAAAATCCTCATTTTCTATGTTGATTTTAAAACAGTTTATAGAGCAGTGGTAAATATTTTGACTATTAGGACATTAACTGGCTGCTTCTTTATATGTAACTGTATTGTCTGCCTGCTCCTTTTCTGGAGATGTGTTTTGTATTGGATATTTGGGCCAATGGGAGGCTTCAAGCTACAACGTATTTTCCCAGTTTAAATATATTTAACATATGACAAACCCCAGACAAGGCTTTTTAAAATGTATAAAGAACTGCAGTGTTAGGTGATTTATTTGCAAACCGTTTTCAATGTTGTCCATTTTTATGGCACCTTTAACAATATTCTTGTTTCCAAAGTACAAAAAGGTTAAAAATACTCTAGCCATAACTGAATGTCAAGCAATAAAAACAAATGACTTTTTGTGCATAGATTTAAAAAAAACAAACAAGTTTTAGACATCTGCATGTAAATGCAATCTCTTGTTTACTGCTTTCTTAAACTTGAGCAACTGATTCCTTATTTTACTACTAATCTAAGGACTTGTAATGGCCTGTAAACATTTTATCTTGCTCTGTTCTTTCAACTTTATCTTTGTCTCTGCTTTGGAGTCATAATATTTAATGTTGTTCTGCTCACCTCTATACAGTTAACTTTTTTGCTTTCATTCTGTATAGATACAGTTATACTATAAACAGCCTACACAGTGCAAATATTATCTGTTTATCAAATACCACATTATGCTGTATAATAATCTGTTTTACTATATAATCTATTTTAGAAATAGCTGTTTAGAACTAGAGTGTGCTATTTTTGTGTTTTTCTGATGTGTGGTGCTAGATAAGTTACTTTTGTGAACAAAAAGCAAATAACCCCTTTTATTCCTAGACAATTCCACCTTTGGGTCTTGTTAATTTCATTGAGTATAACTATAAATATATATATTTGTGTGTGTGGGTATATATAAATATATATACACACACTTCTACATATGCCCAACAAGTACCTGTATCAGAGTACTAGTTTGGGACATTTTTCTCTTTAAATACATAGTATCATTATATAAATTATTCTATAGTACATTTAATAAGGAGAAAATTACTTCATCAGTACAGATACTTGATATCAAATGCAATCCCTTCTATAGTCATTTTACTAAAAAGTGTCATGTCTGGTTTTCACTCTGAGTTGCTAAAATGTTTGCACTCTGTATTAGGTTAGAAGAAAAATAAGTAGCAAACTCACCCAACAATATTCACAATATGCTATATCATTTAAAGGTAGGTGGGTACTTGGCTTATTGGATATCTCTTTTCCTGTTGGTGCTTCAGAGATTGGATTTAATTATCCTGGGTGCTTTCCACCCCTCTAATTCTAATAGGGCCTGAGAGTGCCCATCATTCCAAATATTACATCTATAAGCCTAACTCCATTCACTGTCTGTGAGAGTTTTCTTTAAATCTTTCATAATATGTTACTGGCCAAATTCTCTCCTTGGATATGCGTATGTGCTATCCCTTGAAACCATATGTGTATATTCAAGGATTAGCCTGACGAAGGGTTTTTGAACCTGAAAGCTTGCTTAATAACTATTCTCCAACCATTTGGGTTGGTCTAATAAAAGATATCAAATTCACCCAAGGAACCTTGTCTGCCTGTATTCAAGGATGGTATTTGGCAACTAAAATTAATTCAGAAACAGGGTTTATGGAGTTTTCTCAGTTACTGGTTGATTTTCTTTTTCTTAGAAAAGTTGAATACATCTTAATTTAGCTAGAAATGTAAGTGTATTCTTGGGGTTACACCTAGCCCAACCCCCTCTCCTTCCACAAATAGTTTCATCTTAATGCTTCAAAATTGGTGGATATCAAATATCTAACTAAGGAGTAATTAACTTTTTAAAATATTTATTAGAATTTTTCTGTAATATTACTAAATTTATATAAGATCTTTAGCAAAGATTTTTGAGCAATTTATTAAATACAGTGTTTCTGTTTACTGCACTTTTTGATAATAAGAAGGTAGTGAATTTTAAAGCCATTATTCTTGGCTTCCATGCACTGCTTTTGTACCCTCAATCCAAAAAAATATTTTTTTTAAAACAAAAAACAAGAAAAGCAGCAAACGTACAGTTATCCTGAAAATAAAAATAACCATACTACACCATGGTTATATTTTCATAAGTATAATTGTAAACACTACCAGGATAATTACTTTTAAAACCTTTTGAAAGCTACAATCTTATTTAAATGCAAGCCATGATGATTTTATTTTTAAAACCCTTCAGTGTAAATCACCTTTTGATACTTTCCAAAAGAAATGGAGGATCTCTTAAATTTGTATCTCCTAACATGTACATCATAAACTAAATGCTAGGAACATATTCTCCCTTGTTGTTTAGGTCTAATTATTCTATAAATTATGCAGAACTATATAATTTTTTTTCTCCCATAACTAAATATTTTAAGTAAAGAAACCAGGATAAATGCAGATTACAAATGTGTTGGTTTGAGGATTAAGCACATAAACTTCACAAACCTCATTGAGTAATGTACTCAGTTCTCTGTAAATACATGCAACTTAAAATGAAGCTATACTGTACATGTAAATGTGATGTCTTATGTGTACAGTATGTATAAATTCCTTTTCTAGCAACAATAAAGGCCTAAGCCATCAAGAGGAATATTGAAGTAGTATTGTACTAAACCTTTGCTAATGATCTTTACCCAACAGCCACCTGACTTTTCACTTTCATGGATCATCTTTCCATCTCACCCTTAAAATAGCTTGCTTATATTCAACAGTTTATTTTATTCTAAGTCCTGAAAAAAAAGTATTTTGATTCATTTTTGTAAATACAGCTGTAAAAATAAGAGATTTAATGTTGTCTTTTAAATACTCCAATTTTCATTCTAATATGAATGTTGTTATATTGTACTTTAGAAACTGTACCTTTAATATTACATTACCTTTATTAAGTGCATCGAACACATCGATTTTAGATGTGCTTTATGTACTGTTATCCTGTAATAAAACTTCAGCTTCTAATGGAAACACTTGTCTTAACTCTTTTTTGTCATAAAGATCAGATTTGTTTGTCTGCATTGTGGAACGTATTCAATTCGTTGCTTACTGTATGGATGTAACTATGAAGTTCCACATTTAGATATGTTTGGTGTTGGCTGTGTAAACTCTAAAGCTTTAGTTTGACTCTTTGACATTGAGGGAGACAGTAAAAAATTGCCTGCACAGGTTCTTATCACAATAACATCATCAGCTGTTACCGGTGTGAGTGAACACTTCTGAGGGTTGCAATCCAGGCATCTGCTGTCCCAGAACATGTGTTGAAGAGATGGTCAGTCCAGGCGACATTTGAAACATACAGGTGTGATGCATCACTTCTGCTTACAGTGTGCCTGGTATATGAGGATTTCAGTCCCTACTTTTTCTTCTTTCACTGGCACTAAATTAAGATTAATCTTTATATATTATGTAGGTAAAACGTTAGAAGAACATTAGTGAAGTTACAAACTTAAGCCTGTATGACCTTAATTTGGTTGCCTTGTATGTAGGCATTACGGGCAAGTCTGACTGCATCATTACAAGCTAGTTTTCCCAGACTCCAGTCTCTTTTAGGTTCCTAGTTAATAAATATCTGTGTTAGGTTCTGAAATAAATTGAGAGTTTTACTTAAATTACATCAGAAGCCAGTTCAGTCAGAATTTCATTTTATTCATATGAAGAACTGAAATCATAAGGTGATTTTTTTTTTAATGCTAGCTTTGAGAACAGGTACATCGAAGTGCCTAACGTCGTGATTGGATGCACTGCTTAGACTGATACGGTTTCATGGAATTCCCCCAACTTTCCCCCAGGAGCCCTTGTTCCATTACTATTTTGTCATGTTTATTTAGGGTAACGCCTTGGACGACTCAAGAACAGGGCCCTGTTGTATTGGACATGCTACAGACAAAGCAGTGAAGACCTTTGTGATCAGAATATTCAAGGCAAACAAAGAGGTGTACGGACACAAGAGTGAACGTAGCAGGTATCAAGCTAATATCACTTTTATTTAGAGTATCTGTTCTTGTTTTCAGGGGGTTTACCTGAAAAGGATAAGCTAGGCAAAAAAGTAAGGACAGGAACAGGGAACAGTGAACGTCAAGGAAAGGATCCAAGACATGGCCATAATAAATATCTGCTTTACACAATGGTGTAGAAGGGATTAGCGCCAGAGAGCAGCAGCTGCTGTTGAGCTTTTGCGGAGCTTGCACCAATAGGTTTGCTCTGAGAACGCCTACTGGATTTAGTCCCAGAGGACTGTGAAATAAAAAGTGCCTCATTTCTGGGTCCTGATCCAGGAGTGGAATCCTGTATTTTCTTGTATGTAACCTCTACACCTTTTTCCCCCAAACCAACTGGGGAAAATTGGGGGTGCACATTATGCCATCGTTGATGTGCCATGCTTGGGTCCCGTCAAGTGCAGTCCCAGCATCCAGGTGCTGGATTGGGCCACAGTGCCTGGCTCCCAGCCCCCACCCCAAGGCCTGGAGACCCCCAGATCTCTGATCCTTCCACATGCTCCATGGTAAGATTTTTCCTTTGGACCTTGCAAAAATAGGGGGTGTGTTATTTGGGGGCATGGTATTTGTGAAAAAGTGCGGTAGTTCTGTCGGACCCTGTCCAGACTGAAGTGCGTCAGGTTTTGTGCAGAAGTAGAACTTTCAAAGGAGATGCAGTTTCAATTCCATTGTCTTCCAGAAGGAATTTCAGTCCGATTTCTCACCTCCCTGGAAAGTCCCTAACCACCATGCTAACAGCTGACATCGGTCTTTGTAAAATCCAGAAACAGTCCTGGGAAACGAGATCAGGACTTTTCTCCCTCCCAGGTACTCTAGACACCATGTTCTGCAATCATGCCTTCTTTCATGCTTTTTCTCA